AATATTTAAGGGTACTCAATGGCAAGATATGGGCATCAATATAGATGGAGAAAGATTAAATCACCTAAGGTTTGCAGATGATGTTGTATTAATCGCAGATAACTTACATGATACAGTTTCTATGATGCATTCGCTTAAAAGTCTGTCTGAAAGAGCAGGATTAAAGATAAACTTTGAGAAAACTAAAATTATAACAAATCTCGTAATGAGTGGAAATATAACTATTGACAATAATACCATACAACAAACAGACACTTACAAATATCTGGGACACGAAATCAAAATAAGCAGAGACAATCAAACACATGAAATACAGAGGCGAATAGGTCTAACATGGGCAGCATTTGGCAAATTAAGCCATATTCTAAAAAGTTCAATTCCCATGTGTCTCAAGCGAAAGGTTTATAACCAATGTGTTTTACCTGTACAAACTTATGGAGCAGAGACTTTAACACTCACGCAAAAATCTGCGAATAAACTCAGAGTTACACAACGAGCCATGGAACGTGCAATGCTGAACGTGAGCCTTCGAGACCACATAACAAACCAACAAATCAGGCGAAGATCAGGAGTTCAAGACGTCATCGAAAGAACCACGACGCTTAAGTGGAACTGGGCAGGGCACTTAGCCAGAACACAAGATGGACGGTGGACAAGACGTATTATGGAATGGAGGCCCAGAAATTATAAAAGAAGCCGAGGACGACCACCGACTAGATGGACCGATGACATTAAACGTGTAGCGGGAAACTGGCTACAAGCGGCCCAGTGTAGAGAACACTGGAAAGAACTGAGGGAGGCCTATGTCCAGCAGTGGACGCGATTGGCTGATTGATGAATAGTAGTACTATTTGTGAAAATTTGCGTATTTTAGTATTTTTGTTTAATTTAATAACAAAATAAAAATATTGACAATTAAAATATTGTCAAATATCAGAATCATCAATATGAATAAACGCATCATGTCATACACATTCTTGTACCTCGTGTGGCCTGACTTTAGGGGGTCGCCTGAAAAATGTATTATATTTTTACAAAATTTTGAAATACATTTAATTCGTACAAGAATTTTTACATTTGTTTTTAATACATATTTCAGTCCTCTACAAATAGTTTCCTATGACTCTTGATGTAAAATAATTAGGGAAGCAGGAATTCAACAATTTAGAATTTCCCATTGAATTTCCTATGGCCCGTTTGGCGATTCACCACCCGGTATATGAAATTTCCTGCTAGTCTACAGTAACGCCAACTGCACCACTTTGTTTGCAGTTTTTACCATTCTCAAAGGCCTCTATCCTGGTCTTTATAGTAATTGCAAGTATGTAATTGTTTTTTATTTTTAGATATATCGATCCATATTATCGTACTACATGTTTTTGAGGACAATGGGAAGAAATGGCTAGATATTACAGATATACAATAAAGATGATTCATATTGACTTTGACAAAACCAAAATAGTTGGACGTGTTATTTATAGTGCTTTTTAAATAATCATTTAAAATATGTTGCTGTATACTTCACTCATTATTAAAGAATATTTAAATATTGCATTTTTTTTTTAATGAATAAACATCCAAAGTTGTTTCACAAATAACAAAAATAAATATCCATCTGGGATCATAATATTATAAGCAATTCAATAACAACAATCTAAATATAAAATAAAAACAAAAACATATGCAAGTATAGGTATAACAGATCAGAAAAATAGACAAATCTCTCTCTTCAATCCTGACCCCCCAGGGGAAGTGTAGTGGTCGACGTGATGTCGTGTATTGTCCGTCTCCAGAGATCTCTGTCTCTAGTCATTTCTTTAAATTCATGCATAGGTCTTTGGCATATTCCTGTAATTTGATCTATCTATCTTGTTGGGGATCTTCCTCGTAATCTTCGGCCCTAAATTATGGGTCTTTCCATGTTTTCTGTGTTTGCTCTCATAACATGCCCAAAATATTTTAATTGTTGGAGATGACTTTACTATATAGAGAGTCGTTGGCTAACTTTTAGCTCTCTTAAAATTGAATTATTTGTTCTACGGTCGGTCCAAAGAATTCGTAACATTCGTCTCCAACAGAACATTTCAGTGGCGTCTATCTTTCTTCTCTCCAATTGTCTCAGAGTCCAAGATTCACATCCGTAGGTCAGTATTGGGAATATTAAGAAGTTGATCAACCTCATCTTTATCGCTCTTGAAATTTGACATTTCGTCCATTTTGGTCATTTTTGCTGTAACATCTTTTATTAGATCACATCTACGTTTAATCTCTTCTTGTAATGACCCTGTGTTTGTGATTAATGATCCCAGATATAAGTATGAGCTCACAACCTCGAACTGGTCAATTGTGGTTATGTGTGGATGATTGTTGTGTAGTCTATCCACTATCATGATCTTTGTCTTTGATATGTTTAATTGTAGACCAAATAATTGAATTTCGTTTTCGATCAGTCGTATAAGTTATAGACAAATGTTACATGGTAAATACAGTTCTTCAGACTACAACACATGAAACTCCTTTACCTTCGTCAATCTCCTATTATTCTTTCCTACCTTACTTTCTTTAAGTTACAGACAAACTTTGGGGTTAAGAGGGGACAAAGACATAGTTGTTCCCTCTTAAACAGATTAATGTTGTTTACCACATTCCCATTGCTAAATGTAATTCTTGTTACATAGGTCAGAAGAGACGGTCAGTTAGATATAGATTAACCTACCACCGTAATGATATTAACTTTTCTAAGTACATTTGTACTCTACCAGAATTCGTTTTCACAAATATGACAAGAACAATATTATTGACAAATACACAAAACATGAAAACGAGAAGAAGCATAAATTTGACTTCGAAAACATAAAAAATTTAAAAAAACGAATAATACAAAATGGAGAGGGAGATATATAAATCAATAGAAATAAAAAGAAATACGAAGGCAATCAATGACAAAAAAGATACATAGATCATAAATAAAATATATTTCAATCTGAATTAATTAATAATAAATAATACACCATCAAATACCCCAATAAGTTATAACATACATATTATTATCTCCACTTTGCTTTTTTCGAAAACAACAACGATACGCCCATATTAAAATAATTCTATAGGGGAGAGTTGCCCAAAATGGGAACCCCATCATATTTTATGACATAAAATATAAATTTAAAATAAATAAAATATTTTACACAATTGTGTAGTTAAAGTGTGTCTTCAGGTACCAGAAAACAGATATTGAGTATTTAACAAAAATTATGTAAGAACAGAAATAGAAATTTTTAAAAATGTGCAATTATCTCGTTTTTCAAGAAAGAGTAGGTAAAATGGCGTTCATGGAAATATTACGTTATTTTTTAATTAAACATGTAATTAAGTATTGAATATCATTATACAGTATTAATGCTGCTGCTCAGAATTGTGGTTTGTCTGTTCTGTGGTATCTGACGGGGTACACAGGTAATCAGGGAATACATCTCTATTGAATGGATATATTCCTGTTTTTTTTTTAACTCCCTTCACTGCGGTTTGAACATTAGCTGCTTTCGAAAAAGCAGCATTGACTAGTTGTCCAATTTGATAAATTGTAACACCTCTGCCACCTCTGATACACAAGGGGTATCTCGTACCTGCTTTACGTAATTTGTTTCCCAGCGGACGTAATCCTGGAGGTTTTAATGAAAGTTTATGGTTGCAACAGGATGGTGCACACCCACATTATGCTGTAGATGTTAGAAAGTACCTAGATGAAATTTTTCAGAACAGGTCGATTGGTAGACGTGGACCTATTGAATGGCCAGCAAGGTCACCAGATTTCAATCCTTTGGATTATTTTATGTGGGGCTATCTGAAGAATGTTGTGTATCAAACGAAACCAGCAAACATTCAAGAATTACAATAGAGAATTGGGACAGCAATAGACAATATTTCTCAAGATACAATAAACAAGGTTCAACAAGAGTTTGTACAACGTTTGGGTTACTGTCAAATACAGCAAGGGCTGCAACTCGAACATTTATAAACTTATGTATTTCATCATATTCTATCCGCTAGACAATAAGTATTTTTGATAATATTGTTAATTTAACTAACGCATTACTTTATGAACACACACAAAACTATTGTATTTTTGTCCACCCTGTACCAATTTGAATGAACATGTAATACATTTTTGGAATTAGCTCAGCTAGAGTAATCCGAAATTTCAGACAAAATGGGGGTGTTCCATTAAAAAAAAAAATGACGGTGACGTCATTACTCGAAAGTAATTTACCCTGTATATTAGAATATTATTTTATAATACAGTAAATTAAAATCAAAACTCGACGTGTTTCAGAATTATTTCTTAAAATGATCTGTTTAGCTTAAAAAGACTTTGTTCCATACTTAACGGACACAGTGTATATATATATTTCTATTTATATAGTAGCCAACCAAAGTAACAAAATAGTTGGAAAAGTTCACGCATAATTCACAGGCATCCTTGCAAAATGTCCTACAACAATGTAAAAAAATATCCGAAGTAAAGAACTCCGGAAGTAGAAGTAATCCCCAATTACTGTTTTACTGTTTTGGAAAATCCTCGGAAAACTCAATTCATTTGCTTTTAATTCCATTAGACTCGCAGCCTTCAAGAATTTAGTTCATGGTAAATCAGGACACTGATCTAACCCGAATAAAATAGAGTAAAAAAGTACTAGCAGCTCTAGCGTTACCTAAAACTACAGTGTTTAGAATGAGCAAAGGCCCCGACAATTTATTGTGTTGTGTGATTTGGGCAGCGCATTGAAACTTATTAATCTTTTTTATAAAATGAAGGGTCCGGTCGTAAAATATATTAAGGAACATTACCTAATATTTAAATGAATCGGTCATTTTAAAAACCATATATATCCACATTTTAAAAAAAATAACTTTTCAACCTTATCATGTAGTTTGTATCAGCCTCTATTATTTCGTGAAAAAATCACACTAATCCCATCCTTAGTTGGTGTTTAGTCTCCTTAGTTTTTATTTTGTGCTCCGCAATTATCACTCCAGACTATCAATTTACGATTTGGTGTAATTTTGCAACAACGCACTGCTTTCAACATTGCAGATGCAGTTTCATTTCCACCCCTACCTGTTTGTCCTTCATGCCACAAAAAAGTAAAAACGCCATTGTTGTCTCCGATGTGAATACCAAAGTTGTACACACTTAGTTGCCTTAAGTAGTACATTTTACTGTGTATTAGAGCAGGAAGACTAAAAACTTGTTGAAGGTCCATACTAAACGTACAAACATCACTATTGGGCATGTGCGACTTCTTGTGATCATTATCCATTTCTTTTCTTGCCTTCTTAGCCTTACGATAGAGTCATTCTAAGCGATGTTTCTCATTTAGATTTGTTGGATTGATCTTCATCGACGCATGAAGCAGGTCACAAGTATCGCATGTGTCACTGCGAGACTTGCGGAAAGAGTTTAGGGAATTTGAGTTTAAGTATCTTATCAAAATATTTTCGGCCTACGTTATTGTCTAGATGTTTTTTTATTTAAAGACCGGTGTAATCTACTAGTGTTTAAATCACTGCTTAAATATACTTTATTAGTCTTAGCCCTTGAATAGTGACTTTAGTCTCTGGGCAAGCAGTTTACAAGGTCAACAGTCAGTTGATCATCTTCATAGGTGTATTTTTTTGCTTTGCCTTTGTTGCCTCTTGTTTGGTAACACCAAACAGGCCTTGAAAAGTCTTTTTACATACTCTTAAAACACTTCCTCGTTCATGTGGAACTCAGAATGCTATTAACGTTTGCTTATGACTAGCGTTTGCATCCACATTTCTACGGTGATGGTTTATAGGATGAAGAGTGATGAGTCCCATCATGTAAGTATTTTGAATTTTTAAATCAGCTATTTTGGAAAAGTCAAGTTTTAACTTCTGTTCATACTCCAACTTTTTGCAGTTCTAATTACACTTGCAAAGAACCTGAAAAATGTTTTTAATTAGCTCCCTAATTTTTAACATACTAGATAGGTATAACAATGTAAAAAATCCTATAACAATATTGTTTTTAACGTGGTCTAGAATCTACATCAAAATTACAAGAGGCTTAAGTCTTACATGTTATTGAGAAAACTAAGTAAGAGATACATGCTCTAGTATAATAGAAATTTTAGGTCTGGCTGACCTAAACTAAAACTAAAATAATATAAAACTAATTATAATATAACTATAAAAACTAAAACTAATAACTAAAAGTCTACGCCAAAAAAAAGAAATAGAAATATGTAATATAACTTACATTATCAGGTAAAAGCTTTTTAGCCTCTACAAGTTTGTTTCGTTTTGTTGTGTAGGCCTCTCCTGCAGTTCGCAGCTTTTTTGCCAGGAACCTTCATCTTTTTGCCTTTCATTTGGTGTCGTTGTATTCATCTTCAACTGTATAAAGTAAAGTTTGTAAATTTATTTTAATTGGGAAACAATAGCATCCAGTACTTTCCACACGTGATTTTAACCGCCAAAACAGCCCGAGTACGTGTACACACATAGATATATAGCCCACTAGATCGGAACAACACCGTTTCACTTGCATGCGCATTCTTCAGCAATACTTTAAGCAGATATTTAAGATACTTATTACTTGGCTCATTATACAGACTAACGGCTAGCTACATATCCCACAAACTGGAGAGAAAATCGATTTCAAATTTTTCTCACTTAGCTGGTTATATATTTCCACTCTTCATAATAATATATATACTTCACCCACAGTTGAACGTTGAGCGACGACTGAAGAGGTAGGTATATGATGTGGTACTAGGTATATGGCATATGAAGCAGCAACTCCAAATCCCCACTACGGTCAGAGTTACTTGAAATTATTTACAGGGCCGGTCTGACACACTATGCGTAAGCAACGGAAGGTTATTGCATATTTTCTAAAAGATATTCATATTTAATGGATATTTTTAGGTAAATTAGTGCATTTATGTACATATTTTTCACTTTTTTGGCATATACGCGCAAGTCTAATGATGATTATATACTTCTGTTTATGGGGTAAGCAGAGGAAGAAAAAGAAAATATAATTTAAAATTATTCTTGTAATTCATGATAATTATATAAGGACCATTCAGTTTATTTTATATACCAGTCATATAATTTTGCTTGTTAAATTCTTGTAGTTAAAGTCTTGTGTCAAATTCTGTCGAAAATATTAGTTTCACTACAAACTCTCTCTTCGTTTTTTACTAGGATTGTTTTGTTGATGGTTTTACTTGAAATTATTATCACTAAAGCTGTTTCTGTCGGAGTGCGTTTCCCAAGTGATGTATTTTTTAGTTTGTTGATTTCAATAGATTCTAATAAAGATATTTTAAGTCATTAAAAGAATAATTGGTCTAAAAGGTGAAGTGCGTACTAGAGTCTATATTTTTATTATTGATTGTCCTTTTATGTTCTGCTATACGTTTGATAAAAGTTCTACCAGTTTGACCGATGTAAGTTTTTGGGCAGTCGCCACATTTAGCTTGTTTACACCACTGTGTAATTGCTTTTCTTTTGACTTTTGTTGTTCTTAATATATGTATTATTTAAATGTAAAGTTGTACGTGATTAGGATTATTTGGGTGAAACTATAAAATGTACGATTCTTGTAAATAAAGTTTAATAAAATAACTTCTTATTATTTAACAATAATTACATTAAAATTTACAAATTATATGTACAATTTCAAACATCTATTAAAGTATAGGTTGGGTTGGACAAATATTAGACTCTAATTTAGTGATGACTTCAGCTAGCGGTTGATTTAAAAGTGGTAACTGATCTACATGGTTAACGAAATTGTCATGAGCAAATTTACTTTGTGAAATCGTCAAAAATCCACATTGGTATTCTTTTGGTATTTGACTAAAGGCTGTTTTTGCATTCTGAAAGAAATAGAAATATATTAGTACAATGTATTCTAAAAAATAATTGCTGTGGAAAATAGAAGTTGTCAGACTGAATGATAGAATAATGTTAGTAGGATTTATGGACTAGAAGCTCATGTGACATAAATCATTTTTAATCAATACTACAATATGTAATAACAACTTTAGAAACTGTTCTAATTCTTATCGGTACACAAAGCGTAGAGGTTCAAATTAAGGGTTGCGCTTTGATTTCCCTCCACTGTTCCAGACGGAATGTACTGACGAAATGGCGTTGCAAAACAATTAATCTGTATGCCGATTGAAAACTTTGTTTTGAAAGTTTTCCGAAAGTTAAAAAGTTTAGCTGCTGCTTCTTTTTTTTTGTACAGCTTTAGGTCGCAGGTCATTATTTTTGTATTACTTTCCTGAGTTATAAATGCCATGCAAATATGATTGGCCAAAAACTCTCTCCTTCCTTAACCCTTCAGTACACGTGCGGACTACATGAGCAAAACATTGAATTTTATAATATTGCTATTCGTACTATACTGTATATTAAGTTGAGCTAGATACCTTCAGGGTATGGTATAAGAAACTGTTTTAGTATGCGACTGTTGCTTGATGTATGTAGGTGTAAGGAATAGAATGTATTCTGTTACTATTGTAATCCACGCTTGTACTTATTTAACCCTAACCGGAAATTACTTTTTGTATTCGGCAGTTAAGGTAAGTTTTCTGCGTGAAAAAGAGAAACAAATATATTTTTATTTTTATTTTAGTTATCAGCAATGTTCCGACCAAAAAAAGTAAGATTCGGTGACTCTAATTTTAAAAAAATGCGAAGGAAATGGAATAATGAAATAGAGAATGAAAAGAAGCCGAATATAGATGGTAGTGACGACGACAGCTGCTCAGATGACTATAATGTTGAGCAATATGTATTTGATGATGTTCTAGAACAAAAAGGTACCATGTCTGAATAAAAATCGGAACAAGCAGATATGATATAAGATAAGCTCAAGGGGAAGAAGACGAAGAAAAGATAATTGACAAAAATTATCTTGGCAAAAACAAAGTAAAAGAAGACTAATTGTTTTGAAAATGTGGGATAATAAGAAAGGTACTGGTGTTGAATCTATCAATGCCTTTAAGCCCTAACTGGTGAGGTGCTGTCAAATGACGTATCGCAACTGCGCGTTAATTCGGGTTCCCCACTTACTCTAAATTTGTACGATTGACACTCTCAGTACCTTTTAGTTTAGTCACCGAAAGTAAATAGCAGAAATTTGCTGTGTTTTCGATTGATATATTGAATTACCACAATACGTCAAATTGACGGCACATCACAATTCACGTAACTATTTCAATAAATTTTGCAATATAAAAATGGTCAGTTTACGCATAAATATAGAGTTCATATAAGGACCATATAAAGTTTTTTTCTGTTGTATATACCAGTAGATAGTAGGTTAGGACTCTGGCGAGAGCGTACAGGTACTCAGGTACTTAGGTAAGAATACTATACACGGGGTGTGTGAAGGCCCTATACACCCTGCACACCCCAAATACACCCACACGATAGAAATAAGAAAAAAAGGGTAAGACTTGTTGCCAGACATTTTAGAGTCCCGAAACTCCAAGGAAGACCCCAAAAAAATAGTTTTTTTTTGATAATATCACTTAGTTCTCAATTGTAATCTCATCTTTAGTCCTTATATATACCGCCACTGTGAATTAGGCCCTTAAGGCAGATCAAATGAATACTGATCTACTCACGAAATCCAAGCATTGAGGTCATGTACGGCAAACATAGGCTTGGTGACCGGACCCCTCTCGGATGCTCAGGCGGTAAGGAGGACAAAATTTATTTTTGCCAAATCGGCGGCTGAGTGACCGAGCACACACTCTTTTGCGGACATGAAGTCACCAGCTCAGACTGGCGACTCCATAGTCGAAACACACGCTCTTTTTTCTTTTTGTTTTAGGGACTTAACTCCCGAAGTGATGATAGAGTAACTCCAATAGACCCAGTAAAGTAAATAGGGAGAAAAGCCTAGATATAGCTACCACTATAGCTAGGTGGCATAACCACAGTCAAAAAAAAACAGAAGGTGTCCCAGTATCCAGGGCACCTTAAAGAACTTTTAGATTATAAGCCTCCTCAGGTAAGTCACACGATGAGGAGGGGTGGTAAATTTTTTTTATCCTATATATCAAACCCATTTGTACAGGTTGTCTAAATTGCCTAAATTGGTGTTAACTATCTATAAAAGTATTTTATTTTATTTACTTACGAAACTTTCTGCCAAATGATCATTAGATGCAACGACATATGTAACTGGAACATTAATATTATTCAATGGGTATAACGGGGGTGTAGGGCTGTTATATTTCAACAAATTACCAGCTGCTCCATAGTCAAACATTTGGAATAATCCTTTATCAATTATTTGTGCGTAGTGGGTTACTACCTTTTCACAAATGCTATCTGGATTATCTACAAGTTGTACTGGACGTTTAGCCTGTAAGAATTAATAAAATTAAAAACTAGTTATAAATAGTAGAAGTAATTTTTATTTAAACTTAATACTTGAACAACTTTGTACCGTAATTGCTGCATTGAACATTTATTTTTTTTTAAATAACTAATTTTTTACAAGAAACTATGCTTTATTTTAAATCAAAAAGCATAAACTTAAATTGAATTTTTATTTATGGCAAGTTTTTCAAAAATATTTATATATTTTTCATATAATATATGACTTATACAACCACTTGTTTAAGTATCGGTTTAGCCTATACAGTTTTTTTAACTGGACTTAATTATTGTGAACCTCTAAACTGATCGCTCTCTTTTAACTACTAACAAAAAAAATATTATGGATTGAAAGTATTTGTCTTTACACTGGCCAATATAGGTATAGTCAAAGTGGATCAAGTAAGAAACTTTTCATCAATTACGAGTCTTCCTCTTCAATCCTGACCCCCCAGGGGGAGTGTAGTGGTTGACGTGATGTCGTGTATTGTCCGTCTCCAGAGATCTCTTTCTCTGGTCATTTTTTTAAATTCATGCATAGGTCTTTGGCATATTCCTGTAATTTGATCTATCCATCTTGTTGGGGATCTTTCTCGTGATCTTCGGCCTTCTACCTTTCCTTTTATTATGAGTCTTTCCATGTTTTCTGTGTTTGCTCTCATAACATGCCCAAAATATTTTAATTGTTGGAGATGGACTTTAGTAGAGAGTCGTTGGCTAACTTTTAGCTCTCTTAAAATCGAATTATTTGTTCTACGGTCGGTCCAAGAAATTCGTAACATTCGTCTCCAACAGAACATTTCAGTTTCGTCTATCTTTCTTTTCTCCAATTGTCTCAGAGTCCAAGATTCGCATCCGTAGGTCAGTATTGGGAATATTAAGCAGTTGATCAACCTCATCTTTATCGCTCTTGAAATTTGACAGTCCTTCCATATTTTGATCATTTTTGCTGTGGCAACTTATGCTAGATCACATCTACGTTTAATCTCTTCTTGTAATGACCCTGTGTTTGTGATAAATGATCCCAGATATAAGTATGAGCTCACAACCTCAAACCGGTAAATTGTGGTTATGTGTGGATGATTGTTGTGTAGTCTATCCACTATCATGATCTTTGTCTTTGATATGTTTAATTGCAGACCAAATATTTGACTTTCGTTTCCAATAGTCGAATAAGTTCTATCAGCTCTGCTTGACTATTTGCAAGAAGGGCTGTGTCATCTGAGAAACGTAGGTTGTTTAGTTTATGACCATTTATTGAGATGCCCTTTTTCCATCCTTTAAGTGCTCTTCGCATAATACACTCCCCACATATGTTGAATAATTGTGGAGGTAGTATACATCCTTGTCTGACACTCCGTTCTGGATGAAATTCGTTCGAAAGTGTGTCAAGTACTTTAACTGATCCGGTAGTGTGTTCATATAGTTCGGTTATAAGCGTAATTAGATGTTGTGGTACGCCTACTTCTTTTAGTATTCGCCATAAGTGTCTCTACTTGACCCTGTCGAACGCTTTACGGTAATCTATAAAACAGATGTATAGTGGGATATTGAATTCCCTAGATTTCTCGATTATCTGTCTTATATTCAGCAGGTGTTCTCGAGTGCCTCTACCTTTGGTAAATCCAGTTTGCTCTTGTGGAATTTCTCTTTGAAGGAATGTTTTCAGTCTCTCATTGCTTATATGTAGCATTATCTTGCTGGCATGGGATATAAGAGAGATAGTTCCATAATAGTCGCATTTATGGAAGCTGCCTTTTTTATGTATGGTCGTTATTGTAGATTTTGTCCAGTCTTCAGGCCATTGTTTGGAATGCCATATTTGGTTTCAGAGTAGATGAAGTAACTTTACGCCGGTTTCTTCTGTGGCTTTAAGCATTTTTGCTGTTATCATATCTGGACCTGGTGCTTTGTTATATTTGAGCTTGTTGATAGTCTGTCTTACTTCATTTTCGAGTATATCAGGTTCTTCTTCCACTTCGTCAGAGATTTGGCTAACAAGCTCTTGGCGTTGATCATCTTTATATAGGTCCCTGCAATACGATCTCCATGTCTCTGCTATGTCTTCTCTGTTTGTTCTCAGGGTTCCAGTGTTATCTTCAGTGGCCCAAGTTCTGGCTCTGAAGTCTCTTGTCAGGTAGCGTATTATTCTAAATAGATCTCTCGGCTAATTATACTGACCATGTCTCTCAATTTCTTTGCATATACTTTGATAGTACTGTTTTTTGTCGGCCTTACATCTTCGTTTTATTTCTTTATTGAGGTTTCTTAAACTAGCTTTTTCCCTTTCACTATGTACACCACTTTTACAAAGGTTTCTTCTATTCTCAATTATTTTAAGAGTTTCATCTGTTATTCAGTGTTTCCCTTTCACCGGATTATTTTTCTTACGAGTAATTAAAATTAAATTAGACTTTATACATTTTTTCTATTCTCTAGTGATATCAGTATGATATTGAACCTGCCAAAATTATGAATGGTAAAAAGTAACTGTGCAACGATACAAGAACATGTTGTCTCTATTTATTTCGTGTAGTTTTAATGCGGCACAAAAAAGTTAAAAGGTTGTACTTACATAATCTAAACCTTCGTAATCACTTCCATAAAGAGGTACTACAACCGAGTAACACATTTGCATTGTAATTGGAAGTTGAATGCAGAAATTCGTGTATGCCTGGTTCCCTGTGAGCATTTCACCGTTATACACAAGTTTGGCTATTGGCTAAAATAAAGGTACATATTGAATTAGATGTTAAAGATATAATGAAGAGTAACTTTATTAACTTTTCAAATAAAATCATATCCTGAAACTAAAAAAATAAACATTTTTATTTATAGTCCAGTCGTTAGAAATTTTAGAGATTTGACCTCTAAAAATCATACGAACAAGCCGAATTTTGCTGAAAATGTTAATTTAGAGACTCCAAAACAAATGCAACAAGTTTACTATTCCTACCTCTAGCTTCCTCATAGAACGCCTGCTTATACGGAGAAAAACGAAAAAATCGACTTACCATGAATTTATACGCCTTACCAAAAGTTTATAGAGAATCGAAAAAATAATCTATACTGTTTTAAAAAATGTTAAATGCTCTCAACTAAATAAGATGGTTACATATCAAGGTAGTTTAGTACATAAAATATTTTGTCTAGATAGATGGTCGAAATACACTACTGTATATGTTGGCAGTACCCTAGTATTAGCAGAAACAGAAGACCAACTAAAAATATTGATGAACATACTATCAGAAGAAAGTCACAGACTAGGTTTGGATATTAATCTTTCCAAAACCAAAATCATGGTATTCCACAAAAACCCCCATGAACAAATTACACCCAACATACAAATCAATGGTATCACCCTTCAAAACTCGCAAAGCTTCATATATCTGGGCAGAGAGCTAAACAGTCAACTAGACCACTCAAAAGAAATTAGAAGACGTATTGAAATAGCAAGATCTGGCTTCATGAAAATGCGAAAAATGCTCTGTAACCCCAAGCTATCAATCACAATAAGGTTAAGAACACTAAAGTGTTATGTGTGGTCTTTACTACTATATAGCTGTGAGACCTGGACATTAAAACAGTATGACGTCAACAAACTGAATTCATTTGAAATGTGGATGTACCGCCGAATGCTAAGAATAAGCTGGACCAGCAAAACTACAAATGAAGAGGTACTGGAAATAATGAACACACGACCTCATCTGGTTAATACAATCAAAATTAGAAAGACGTCATATCTAGGACACATAATGCGCCATAAGGAATTTCAGCACCTCCAGGTAATATTAGAAGGCAAAATCGAGGGTAAAAGGGGTATAGGAAGAAAGAAGAAATCCTTGCTCCGAAACATCAGAGATTGGACTCACACAACAGGAAATGACTTAATCCATCAAGCCCAGAACAGAGAGAAATTTGCCATATTGATCGCCAACCTCAATAGAGAAGGCACTTAGGAGGAGGAGGATATGTTGGCTTAATACAAACGAAACCCAATTATAATTTTATTTTAAACTTACCTGAACTATAGGCCAAAGAGGTGCCAAACCTCCTAATATAGATCTTATCTGCTTATTTAAAATTACAACTGGTGCCATTGCAACAAAATTTTTTACTCTGGATTGAGCTTTCTCTGGATTTAAAGACAGAAAAACACTTGTGACAGTTGTTCCCATAGAATATCCAATTACTATCGCCTTTTGTTGAGTGATGTTATAAACTAAGTCCAGAGCAGCTGGCATATCGTACATGCCCATCTCGTGCCATCTAAAATTATAAAATATTTCTCATAAAGAATGTTTCCGGAAGATATTAAATATTTTTTTTCCGACATTTCGGCAAGAAATCCATGCCTTTTTCAAGAATATGTATTGACTAAAAAAAACATTTTATGACAGACATAATACGGTTTAAAAAATAAACTTTTGACTTACCAAGCATGTAAAGATTCGGTATTAGCAATTAGACGTCACAATTAAAATAATATTGAAACATAGGACATACCCACTAAGTCACTACAAGTAAAATATATTTTAAATCTAATGTGTTGTTTATTGATGTTAGTTTATCGTTTAAACAATCAGTTATTTTAACATCATAGGCGTTCTGAGATTGACTTTTTATGTGTTTTTAAATTAAGTTAAAATATATTTTGTTCAAATTTTTGACATCTTTTTTATCATTTATTGCGTTATTATTTTTTTTTATTTGTATAGACTATAGAAGCTCTCTCTTCTTCCTGTTGGGTTCACTTTTTAGGATCTTGGTTTTCTCAAAATCAAATTTATGTTTTTTTTTCGTTTTCATGTTTTGTGAGGTTATCATATTTTGTGAGGTATTCTTGAGTTAAGTAGCTGACTGGTTTGTCCAATATAAACTCCACCACAATTCAAGCAGCGAATTTCATATACAACATGCGATCTTTTTAATAGAGGGGTTTTTGTTTTCAATCTTGTAAAATTCCTTTTCAAAAGATTGTGCCCTTTATGAGCAACAGTAATATTATGTTTAGATGATGTTTAGAAGATTTGCTATTTGTTCTGATAATCCTTTTATATAGGGGAGAGACATATAGACATATAGAGAGAAATAAAAAAGACAAAAGCTTTTTTAAACGAGAACTCCAATTTAGTTGTTCTGAAACCTGACAAAACTAACAAGACTGTTATTATGGTGTCCGAAGTACACCAAGTTTATGACAGTAAAAATGGATTCTCTATTTAATGATAATACAACATACTGTGAAATGAAAAATGACACTACGAATATTTTTCAAAAAAGAAATAACGAATTGGTCGACAGATGGGAAAAAATATGCTACATCTCACCAAACACTGCTAATTCCTCAAGATACATAATGCTGTAATTCCAAAAATATACAGTCTACCCAAAACACATCAAGAGGGTGTGCCGCTGCGACCTATTGTTTCATGCATTCAGTCTCCTTTTGAAAACCTTTCAACATATTTGAAAAACATTATTTCCAACGTAATAAATAAAAATCCACACTATTTAAAAGACGTTGATCACCTGAAATTAAAACTCAAAAATATACATTTACCTCCAAACTATAAATTAGTTTCTCTCAATGTGGTATCTTTATACACCAATATTCCAATAGCTTTAGCAAAAGACATAATTAAAAAAAAGTGAAACGAAATCAAAGCGTTCACAGACATCCCTCTAGAAGAATTTCTGCTAGCAGTCGAAACAACATTAAAGTCAACCTATTTCCAATATAAAAACAAAATCTTCCAACAAATAGATGGATCTGCTATGGGTGCTAGCATATCCAGTGCCATCGCTTAATTAGTTTTAGAGCATCTAGAGGAAATTGTTTTAAATAAAATAGATTTTGATATACCTTTTTTCTATCGCTATATAGATGACTGCTTGAGTGTAGCAACAGAGGATAAAATAGATAATTTACTAAATGAATTCAATAAATTTCACGAAAAACTAAAATTCACATTAGAAATTGAAAAAAATTATCAAATTAATTTTCTGGACCTGACCTTGCATAGAGAAAACAGCACTATAACTACTTCATGGTACACCAAAAAAATCTGGTCGTCGAGATATCTGAATTTCAACTCTCATCATCCCCTGTCTCAATAGAAATCAGTAGTTATCGGACTCGCTGATAGAGCTATTAGATTATCCGATCCTATCAATAGACCTCAGGCCATTAGAAAAGCAAAAACAGCACTAACACTTAATTCATACCCACATCACCGTATCGACAACACTTTTAAATCGCGAATGCATAAATTTTACAATAACAATAATAACAATGAAACCAACACGGTAAAGAAAAACTATATGTCTCTCCACTATATAAAAGGATTATCAGAACAAATAGCAAATCTTCTGTCTAAACATAATATTACGGTTGCTCATAAAGGTCATCTTTTGAAAAGGAATTTTACAAGATTGAAAACAAAAACCCCCTATTAAAAAGATCGCATGTTGTATATGAAATTCCCTGCTCGAATTGTGATGGAGTTTATATTGGACAAACCAGTCAGCCGCTTAACTCAAGAATACGTTACCACAAATATGACAAAAAAAAAACTCAACCGCCCTCACAAAACATGAAAACGAAAAAAAACATAAATTTGATTTTGAGCAAACCAAGATCCTAAAAAGTGAACCCAACAGGAAGAAGAGAGAGCTTCTAGAGTCTATACAAATAAAAAAAATAATAACGCAATGAATGATATAAAGGATGTCAAAAATTTGAACAAAATATATTTTAACTTAATTTAAATACACATAAAAAGTCAATCTCAGAACGCCTATGATGTTAAAGTAACTGATTGTTTAAACGATAAACTAACATCAATAAACAACACATCAGATTTAAAATACATTTTACTTGTAGTGACTTAGTGGGTATGTCCTATGTTTTATTATTATTTTAATTGTGACGTCTAATTGTTAATGCCGAATCTTTACATGCTTGGTAAGTCAAAAATTTATTTTTTAAACCGTATTATGTCTGTCATAAAATGTTTTTTTTAGTCAATATATATTCTTGAAAAAGGCATGGATTTCCTGCCGAAAAGTCGGAAAAAAAATATATAAAAATGTCTTAGTATCAAACTAAAATTTTTTTTATGAACTTAAGCCCAAGAGAATCCACTAAAAAATATATGTATATATATATATATATTCCAGCACCATAAACTATAAAATATTTAATGACAACTTTATCATCACTTACGTAAAATTCCAGTAGGCGTAGTTACTCTTATCGAGACCATTGACATTATTACCACTATACATCGTTCCCCTAAAGTTTATGAAAAAAACTTGCCTATTCTGGTTTATGAGTTGATTTGCTAAAATAGACAGTTTAATTAGGGAGAAATTTTTTTACAATCTATATCATTACAGAGTATTAATACATATTAATACATAATATAATATTAATTATTATATTACATATTATAGTATTAATACATAATACATATTTATTATACTGGTTTTGGGCATGAAGGAAAGACGTCCAATGTTGTCTCACCATGTTTTATTTTAGTTTAGTTTTGAAGGTCTTAGGGCCAGGTTCTATCGAGTCTTTTTGTGGCTGGACCAGTATTGAATAATTCTTTTATTAGCGTATTTTCATGCTGAATGGTACGTTCATTTTGTGACTCCGTGGCTTGATGTATTTCTTCTCTAAAAGGAATCTTTATGTTTTAGTGAAGTTTTTGATTACTTATCTATTATAATACATCCACTATTGATCTTAGCACTTTAGACTAAAATCTTTGGATGATATTCAGCGAAGTTGGCTTTACACAACCCCGTAGCTGCACGTAAGAGAATCAGAAAGGCTTGAGTATGGCTTTGAATAGAAGAATTTTGTTTTGGATGTTAAGTTTTGATTTACACCCAAGGAGCCAATCTATCTGGAAGTTTAAGGCGAGCTCTTATCTTTTGGTCTGGATATGTTTCTTCCAAGTGAGACGTTGGTCAAGATGAAGGCCAATGTATCTAGCGTCCATACTGTTGGTATTCTTACATTTTCCATTTTTACAGGTGGGCATATCTTGTGACGGTTGGTACATGTTATTTGAGTGGATTTTGTTTTATTTACTTCTTGTACATTAATTACTTAGTATGTTCAGATGATGTTGCAAGTTTTTTGTGGCTTGTATCGGATCTTCATTAACAGCTAGTATTGCTATGTCGTCAACTGAAAAAGCGATTGTAGTATTATTAGTCTCTGGTATATTGGCTGTACGGAGAGAAAAGCAGTGGCCCTAGAACACTACCCTGTGGGAATCCAGAGTTGATAAGACAGAGGTTGGATAAGTCTAGAAATATAGCGTTGCAGGATTTCTTTTCTTCGTAGTGACAAAATAAGTACAAATGTATAAATATAAGATTAGTCAGTAACAGATTAAAGTTTTCATTCAACTGGTTAATGGGTATTTCTTTATTATTATTATCACTATTCAGATTTAGCAGTACGCTTCATACTTAATCTAAAGCAAAAATTCAATCATCCTAGATACCTACGGTATCAACAAGATTAAGCTATGGTGGAACTCTTTTCATGTTATCAATCCCTAGGTGGCTTAAGGTGGAATTCAGTCACACCTCCTAGGTTTTCTAGGATATTTTTCGAAATAACATCAATATTAAATAGAATAATAGCGTATTTTTCATTCTTCACTGTCTCCTTATTTGTATTTCTAGATCTCTATACTTGGGGATCCTTTTTGTTGTCTTCAACCCGCAGATTATTGTTGTTAGCTATCGCCACATCTATAAGTAAACTTTTTTGGCACTTTCTACAGTGAAATTTGTACCTCCTTAGATGTCCTACATAAATGGATAGTTTTGGTTGTAATGTATCCAGGCACTGTTGTTTTCTGAATCATAATGCAAGTGGTTTGCATTGCTCAGCATTATTTCTTTAGCTATTTTAATAAATTTTTTACTTGTTATTCATCGCAAATATTCTATCATTTGACCAATATCTCTACGCAATAATTCAATATTGTTTAGAAGCCATTTTTTCCATAATTCAACTCTATTATCTGTCTTTCCAACATTAATACCCCGTCGTGGTCTGACCTTAATTTCCATTACCATTAGCTGTTACTGTTGCTTTACAGTAAACAAGCATGTGCAAACCTTCCAACGTATGGGCTTCTGAGAGGTAATTGGGTAGGATTTGAGTGTTCACAACTTGTAACAGAGCACCTAGTTTTTAGACGAGTTTATTTTTTATCTCAAGAGTTTATTTTTGATATGCCTGGTGAAGAGCAGCAGGCGCAATCAAGAAGAGATCGGATACCAAATGAGAGAATACGAGAAATGATGGAAGTCAAACATACAATAGTTGATGACATAAAAACAAAACAGTTAATATGGTACGGCCATGTACAGAGAATGCCAGATGACAGGATTCCAACACAGATTTTGACGTGGATACTACAAAAGAGTAGGAAAATACAAAGGCCGAGAAGAAGCTGGAAAGACGGAATTAAAAAAGAACTAGAGGAAAGAGAAATCCCTCAAGGTTCATGGTTAAATATAGAAGAATGGCCGTTAGAAGTCAGAAGGCGTCGAAGAACGCTGTAAACCGATAGTAGTAGTAGTATTTTTAATACTGGTGGTCTGCTAAGTGAGTTTGTTTCATTAAACTCTTATACAGCACTTACCATTTCGCTTGGATACCAGGATATTGCAAGGCTCGTTGCTTTTCTGTTGGGTTTAATCAAATTAAGTTTCTTATACGACAAGCTCAGTAATCTGCTCCTATCTTTATTTAGGAACGATCGTTGCTGTTCTATTGTGTGTTAACCTTCAGTTCGACTTTGCTTCTGATGATAGTGCGTCCAATATCTGCGATAAGATTGTTTCTTATAATTACCCGGTATTGATTTGCAACTCACCGTTAAGGTACTTGAATTTTTGGGTACTCATTTCAAAATTTGGCATAGACATTTTGTCGATATTTGATCTTTCTTGACTGAGGTGTGTCAGCTGGTAATAGAAGCGCAAAATATTTTCATTTATGGACATAGTCCACTTCATGCACTACCTCGGTTGTCCCGCTTGAGTGAGCGCCAGCTGATGTTCCAGCGGAGCAGCTTCAGCGAGTAGAGCTCTTTGTTGATTGGCTCGTTTGGTGTCGTTCTTGTCGTTGCGCTGTAGCTGATGTATGACAGGGGTGCAGCTCTGCACTACCCCGTAACCTAGTATTATTATTATAAGAGGTATAGAGAATGGGCAAAACCGCACAGACACATCACATACAGTAGCAAATAGAAATGTATGAGTGAGTAGTTTCCAATTACAGCTAACCGATCACGGCTACCCAATTCCAATATATTCTCTAATGATATGATGGAATATTTAACAAAAATACTTATTTTTCTTACGAACCGTAGTTTTATTTAATAAGCTATGTAACCATTTTTGTTTAAAGTATAACCATAATTATTCAGTAAGCAAAGTATGGGACCACTTTAATACTTTTATGTCATTGTACTTTAAAAAATTGGTTTCTTGACGAAATTTGTCAATATTGTTTAGTAAAAAGCAGTTCCAAAAATGTAGTTAGTTAAATTTGACCGTTACAAACATTATCAGGAAAAATACTGAAACACCAACAGAAAAAATTATCGCGAATCTATTTCAAAATAACGTTTTGTATTACATAGTTTACTTACCAAGACTTTTGTCTGTTGAAGACACAAAGGCTCTAGAATTCATATAAATACCATGAGCCATTAAAATAGGAGCCAATGTAGGATCCAAATTTTTGTAAGCTCTGATGACCAAAATTTGATACCCATCTGTGGTTGTTAATGTATATGTTTCAACAGTACAACCCCATCTCTGTAGAATTTCCATCTAAAACCAATAACAATCATAATCATGTATAAAATAAAAATAATAAGCTATAATTTTTCTATAAAACACTTGCAATTATTTTTCGGGCGGATATTCTCAAGTTTAAGTTGATTTCATGTAATCGATTGAACTATCTTAAAATAAAGTCGTCCCAGAAACGCAACCGAGCATTTTGGCAATAAAGTAAGTCATTTACTTTAAAATGTACATTGTATGTTAGTATTCTCAATATGAGTAAGTGGGAAAAAAGTAAATATTTTAAGAAGAGTTTTAGGAAGCATTTTAAACTAAGTAACAAAAAACAAAATTTGTTTAATTTACTTGTTTTGTATGTTGAGAACGATTTCTCAAGTGAAAGTTGAAACAACAATAAACTTATTTTAAACTGTTATATTGTAGTTTATTTTCAATTGAAATAGAAATAGTATTATAGATAACAATAAAAATATTTTCCCGCTTCAAGGCCACGATTTCCTAACCGTTTCTTCCGTTTCTTCCTGACACAAAATATTTCCATTCCACTTACATTAGAAAAATAACTGGCATAAGAGATATTCTACTGTGTACTTAAGCTATATTTATACTGATTTATTGGGTATGTACAACTGTTCAAAAAGCATAAATGTTAAAATCATGAATGTGGTGCTTGTGTGAGTCCATTTCAAATAGGTAAAGAAATAATAAATAAGACTTACTCACAATCAATTTAATTTAACTATTCAGACGACCGGTTTCGCTTTCTACAATATGCAAAGCATCTTCAGGTCTCGATACAAAGTTAAATAAATGATGCCGGTACTCTATTAATTGATGGATGGTAGAACATGGTTGAAACTATCATGTATTGTTGAACGGAGAACCTAAGTCCGCTATTGTAGCTGTTTGACAGCAAATGGAAAGTTCTTGAGGAGATAGATTTGATCCAATGAAGTAGAGATAGGTGTGTGATTGTTTGTTAAATGAAAGTGATGTTATATACCATTGTATTATTTAGTTATTTATACTTATTCGAGAGATATATTTATGAAATGTGTGTTATTTATTGAGTATTTGTTTTATGAAAGTGACAGTGTTATGACAATGAATAAGCTTAGATGTACAAATTGTGTGGGTGTGCAATTATTTCAACTTGTAATTATCAAATAATTGGCAAGTTAGTAGATTATTGCAAAGTAGAGTATATAAAATATTAAAGTTAAAACAATTAAGGACAATTTAAACACACTAAAACAGAAAACACTTAGAAGGGACGAAACAAATATTAAGTTTAAAAAGGGGGAAGGACTTCTATGCACTACATCTCAGTCTTGGACACAATGAGATTTTTATGATAAAAATATACAGTTGAGATGTTCCTTCAATAAAAAGAATACATTAAAAAAATATTTTCGGGCCAAAAAAAAATTAACAATAAAGGTTGCGTTTACGCACCTTTGGCGGTAAATGGGTTAAAGAAATATTAAAACGATCGAAAGTAGCGGATGTATTCCAGAAGTATTGCATGATAAAATGTAACTGAGCAAGACACATAGGAAGAACGGAAGACGATGCGAATTATTTAATTTCGACTAAGAGAAAATTAAAGAAATAGAGGCAGATCTCACACCAGATGGACTGATGACATCAAGCAAATGGCTGGTTCCGAATTAATGCAAAAAAACAAAGAAGAGAAATGAATGGACACACCTAAGAGAGAATTATGACGATGGATGGTATAGCAAATAATGATATCTCTTTGTTCTGTTCTTGCTTGTCAGCCATACTATGTTTAAGTTTATATTCTGCAATAAATGAAACAAAAAACAAGGAAATGCGCTGTCATTTCTTCTTTTTAATATCATCTTGGAGAAAGTAGTAAGAGCAGCACAAGTTAAAATAGAATTACTGACAGTAAATTTACCAAAATTACTACTAGCATACGCAGGTGACATTGACATTGTGGGAAACACAGTCACCAGTGTGAAGGAGACTTTTAATAAATTGGAGGTAGAGACAAAGACAGGTCTATTGGTAAACGAAGAGAAAACCAAATACATGTGCATCAACAGACAAAAGGGACACGATAGAATTGGGCAAAATGTTACAATAGATCCATATAACTTTGAAGGAGTGGAAAGTTTTAAATATCTCGAAGCAACAATCACTGCAGATAACGATATCGCTGAAGAAACTAAAGTAAGAAATTAGGCAGCAAACAGATGTATGTACAGCTAATTAAGTAATTACAAAGGCAAATGTTAGGCTAAAAGCCTAACACGAACATCAAAGATAAGAATACATAAAAGAGTGATTAGATCGGTGCTCATGTATGGGTGTGAGGCGTGGACCTTGACTAAAGAAACTGAAAGAAAACTTAGATGTTTTGAGAGGAAAATCCTCAGAAGAATCTTTGGGCCTTATCACGACATTAATAAAAACCAATACCGACTAAAAACAAATGCTGAAGTCAAGCAGATGTATAGAGCGAGCAACATAGATTAAATCCCAATGTCTAAAGTTATGTCCATAGACTCCTAATGCCCGTCTTGCCAAATTAATATAGGGGGAAGGCTCCACAAGAAGTTAGGACGTCCATGAATGCGATGAAGAAACAATATAGGGTCAAATCTAAGAACAATGGGGCTACCCAATGACCAACTATTATGGACGTCCGTTCAAGATGAAAGCAAGTTGTGCAGTCAGAAAAGACCCACCCCGGGTTGAGGTGCTACGAGAAAAAAAAGAAGAAGAAGAATAGATGAAATGAATCATACAGAATTTACTAACATTACAGAATTAACTAGTTTAAAGGAGCGATATAAAAAAACCTTAAAACGCAGTAAATATTAGTAATAAAATAAAACAATATTTTCGTCAACATTAAATGATATATAAAAGTATTAATTAACGTATTCAACTTACGGGAGTGGCACCTCCATCGGGATCAATTTGACAACTGCCACCATTAGATTGACCAAACAAATTAAAATAGTATTCCAGTTGACTAGAACAAGTTTTCACACCTGCAGTAGTTAATGTGACCGAACACGAAAAACAAAAGCCTAATAATAAAATATATTTTTGTGGACTCATTTTTACTTTTCCACTAGTGCAAATATTTGGATAATGTCAATTGTTACCAAATTTATACCTAAATGGTTCTATATCTTTTAACACACGTAACACATATCGCATTAATTAAGTAATTACAAAGGCAAATGTTTACTTGTAGATAAAATAATACATTGTTAAAATTGTAGATTATTGCCAATATTATTTTTTTACAACAAATGTTTCAATTAATAATTTTATATTAGAAAATATTCGTAAGTATTAGAGATACATTACTTATACAAATAATACGTACTGACAAACATTGTCATTATCCTGCCTCTGCAGGAATATTATCGTACGGCCGTAGCATCAACGAACGTATTCTCCATATCTGGTTTCTTGACTCCATCCTTAATCTCGTGGTTGAGATGTGTACTTAAACGACATTCCCCGTGAAGTTAACTATTGGCTCTGAAGTCCTCAAAGCCCATCGACAATTTAGAATACTTAAGAACCTAGACAGTTCGATAGTTTCTTACATAACGGTATACTATTTTCTTAGATGTATTGAATATGAGTATTCTAATTGCGGTGTAGGCTTTAGATTTCACAAAGACGGAACGTAAAAAGCCTTTATCAGCCTAGAGTCACGGCTCTGCTCATACAAGAAATGAATAATGCCAAAGCAGATATCATTGCTATACAGGAACAGAGACTTAGATGGGTTGGACACATTGCTAGGATGTCAGATCACGAATACACGAAGAGATTAATATTTTCAAAACCAGAAGGCACAATAAGCAGGGGACGACCACGAATGAGATGGATTGATTATTTGGAAGAAGATGTACAGATTCTAAGGGTTAGAAAAAGAATAGAAGTTGCCAGAAATCGACAGGAGTCGCGACTTGTTTGTGAGCAGGCTAAGATCCACAATGGATTGTCAAGTCACTTATGATGATGATGACAGTAAACCAATAGATATCAGATGTCAATTTTTATTTTTGTCAATTCATTAATGTAAGTGTCCTCTTTTAAGTTTTGTTAAGTTTTTTATATATTTTACAATAACTTTTTGTTCCTAATCTTATACGTTTTAGAATCTTGACAAAGAAAAGGATTTCCTGCCGAAAAGTTGATTTCAATGGACAATAAAATCTATTTTCAAAATTGATATTACTTATTGAACCTAATGTCCCAGGTTTAGGGGGGGTCCCAGGTTTACCTGGGACATGAAATTATGCTTGGCAGGAATAACCAGACTCATGAACTGAAGAGAAGAATCGGCCTTGTGAGGGCAGCATTTGGAAAATTAAGAGAAACTTTTAAAAGTGAGCTGCCCACAAGCCTAAAGAGAAAGGTATTTGATCAGTGCGTCCTGCCAGTCGTGACGTACGGAGCAGAAACACTTACCTTAACAAAAGCCGCAGCTACCAAACTGAGAGTCACGCAGAGAAGAATGGAGCGGTCCATGTTAGGAATAACTCTGCGAGACAGAACCACCAACGAAGACATCAGGAGAAGAACCGGAGTGACTGACATCATCGAGAAGATAGCCAGACTAAAATGGAGATGGGCAGGACACATAGCCAGAATGACAGATGGGCGGTGGACAAAGAGGTTATTGGAATGGAGGCCAAGGGAAGACAAGAGAAGCGTCGGTCGACCACCTACAAGATGGACTGACGATTTGAGAAGACTCAATAAAAACTAGATAAGAGCGGCGCACAATAGACGAGGTTGGAAACACGAGGAAGAGGCCTATGTTCAGCAGCGGACTCTTAAGGCTAAATACAAAAAATCATCATCATCAATGGTGCTACAGCGCTATGAAAGAGCCTCGAACTTCCCAAGACTATTACGCCAGGCAGTTCTATCCATTGCTAACCGTTGCCAGTTTGCTGCGCCTATCTTTCTACCATCCTCATCTACTCCATCCTTCCATCTGAGTTTTGGCCTACCCCTTTTTCTACTTCCCACGGGTTGTGACATAAGGATTCTTCTAGGAGGGTTGTTCTGCTGTGATCTTGCTAGATGTCCTGCCCATCTTACTCTTCCTATTCTTATAAGAGATATTACGTCTTTACCACCAAATATTTGTTTATATCTGTGGTATACCTCGTAGTTGTATCTCCTCCACCAAACACCATTTTCACAGATGCCACCAAATATTCCTCTCAGGATCCTTCGTTCAAATATAAGCAGAAGGTCTTCGTCTGCTTTGGAAATGGTCCATGTCTCTGATCCATATGTCAACACTGGCTGTATAAGGGTTTTGTATATAGTTATTTTTGTTTTTTGGCTTAAGTTTATACTTCTCATATGTCTACTCAGTCCAAAATAGCATCTGTTTGCCATTATTATCCTTGTTAAACACAAGAAATACTTATGAATATAATTAGGGTGATTTGTTTAAATTTTTTATCTTTCATTTACATATAAAGTTCTAGCTAGTTAGTTAATGAACTAATTAATAATATAGCCCATCTAACCATATACATCACTCCAAATAGAAAACTGCTGCAATGCTTGATTTGTTTGGCAGCAAATTCATAGATGCAGTGGAGTTAATATTGTTTAATACAACTTTTTTGATTTTATTACCTCTAAGCCTAAAAATATTAATAAAATACTCATCCCACATGCAATTTTTGATATCAATGGGATTCAAAAATGTTTTTGATATCTATGGGATTCAAAAATGTTTTTAATACCTCCAATTGATTTTATAATTAATTTTAATAGATGATGACCTAGCACTTCAAAGCCCATACAAACATTTACCCCATTGATTCCACTGATCTTAAAATCATTTAAAAGTTGAACAGTTTTATTACGTTTTGGATCTGTTCGATCAGACTCTCTAACTGATTTCAAAATTTTTATTTCATCAAGAGCAGTTTCTGTGAAGTGATCTGCTGACTTGACAATCTTTAGGGCAACAAATCTCTTCTCCTCAAGATCCCAACACAACCACACAGTCGAGAAATGATCCCAACCTAATTTTCTAGTTATATGATACCTGGAAAGAAAGAGGTCGCCAATTCTGACAGGATGGTAACCTCCTTTGCGGTAATCGGAACTATCTTCTTGTTCTTCCTCTTCACTAGTGTAAGGATCCTCATCTCCGATAGTTTCATTACTCAAGCTATGAGAAGGTTCAGTTTTAGAATTATGCCGATTTTCTTCACCATGTCCGTTCATATCGTTTTTACCTTTTTTTTGGCAGGCTTGTGTCTTTTCTTTTTAGCTTTACGTCGATTTACATCCAATTTAGCGCTCATCTGTATACCTTTTTATAACAATCGCCACTAAAATTACTTAAAAACGTTATTAAGGCGTTTTTTTTAAATAAAATTTAAATAAAATGAAGGACATTTGACGCCTTAATAACGTTTTTAAGTAATTTTAGTGGCGATTGTTATAAAAAGGTATACAGATGAGCGCTAAATTGGAAGTAAATCGACGTGTTTTAGCTATTCAAGCTAAAAAGAAAAGACACAAGCCTGTCAAAAAGAAAGGTAAAAACGACATGAACGGAGATGGTGGAGAAAATCGGCATAATTCTAAAACTGAACCTTCTCATAGCTCGAGTATTGAAACTATCGGAGATGAGGATCCTTACACTAGTGAAGAGGAAGAACAAGAAGATAGTTCCGATTACCGCAAAGGAGGTTACCATATTGTCAGAATTGGCGACCTCTTTCTTTCCAGGTATCATGTAACTAGAAAATTAGGTTTGGGTCATTTCTCGACTGTGTAGTTGTGTTGGGATCTTGAAGAGAAGAGATTTGTTGCCCTAAAGATTGTCAACTGGTCAATATAATAAAGAAACGCAAGCTGGAATACTTCGGTTATATTATGAGACACCCTGAAAAATATGATCTGTTACATCTGATCATTCAGGGAAAGATCCAAGGTAATCGTGGTCCTGGTAGAAGAAGAACATCATGGCTGAAAAATCTAAGGCAATGGTATGGAAAATCAACTACATCGTTATTTAGAGCTGCTGTCAATAAAGTCACGATAGGGAATATGGTAGCCAACATGATATCCAACGATCGATAACGGTCATGGAACTAGAAGAAGAAAGATTGTCAAGTCAGCAGATCACTTCACAGAAACTGCTCTTGATGAAATAAAAATTTTGAAATCAGTTAGAGAGTCTGATCCAACAGATCCAAAACGTAATAAAATCTTCAATTTAATAAATTAATTTTGAAAAATCCTCTTTTATATTTTGATTTACCTTCATTCTCAATTATTGTCTCAACATTTTAACATTTTAAAATATGGGTTATATTTAAAAACATTTGTACCTTTTGATAATTTAATTCATATGAGACAGAATCGACGCATGGCAGATAGTTTGTGATTATCGTATGTTGCTGCTTCAGTGACTTATTTTAATTATGTTTAGATAAATATTAAGATTATTAGATTATTGATATTGCTATGCATATATTCAGAATGATAACAACAAAATGTCTTATGGTATTCTCTTTTGTGGTAGTGCTACTCCGACTATATTTACTTAAATAAGGTTAAATAATAATATCCTTAAATTTTCATTTTATTTTACAGCTATACTTTAAGTTTAATTACTATCTTAATGGCAATAAGACAATTTAAAATCACAATCGTTTTATTGAGTTTCAATAGATAGATTCAAATATGTACACACGCAGGGGGATAACGAACATTAGGGTTCACTGAATACTTTAAATGTGTCTAACGAGGGCTGGTACAACCAGCACATTCAAAAGAAGCGGCTTTAATTATGTAAATGAGACCAATTGATGTCGCCAAATTTGGAGACTGTAGTAGGATTGGTTACAATATATTGACGAGGAAAGATAATAATAAGAAAATACAGTATTAGTTAGTCAGTACCAGATCGAGGAATACAACATTTATGCTTTTTCAATAACGAAAATATTACAATCAGATTTTGAGTGTTTATGAAGGTAAACTAATGCAAAACAAATATTATATGTGGGTTAGTATTCTGAGGTGTTGTTTCCAGGGTTTTCCCTCATAATTACTATGGAATCATAACAGGAGATTTTATGTTATCATGTGTTTTGTCTTTTTAAAGACGAAATTATAATGCTATGATTTTTTCTGAGGATAATTCCTCAAGTTAAAGTTTGATTTCATGCTAAATCGAATGAATATCTTATAAGTAAAGTAGTCAGGTGCGAACTCAACAATATTGGCATTAATCATTTTAAAGTCGTTATTTTAAATGCATAATGTTATGTCTGAATTGTCAATTAAATGCGTCAGATAAAAGTAAATTATTAGAGAGTTTTTACTATGTAAACAAAAAACTAAATTTGTTTAATTTATGCTTTGTATTTTGAGACCGATTATCGAAGTGGAATTGAAACGTCAATAAACTTATTTTATCTTTAATGTGGCCTTATTCCAGTTAAATAGTAAATAATTTTAAAAAATGCCACAGGAAAATAGCTTCAGAACAATACTATTACCTATAGGTGTTTTAGATCGTTTAAATTTTCATGGTTCTAGATACAGATGTTTTAAAGCTTTATTAATGAACAAAATGATTGAAGATATCCTAAAACTTTGAAATAAATATGAAAATACAAGTATAACCATAATGCATGAATACCGCATAATTCGTAAAAAAATAAAACAAGTCAAAAAAGCAATCCAGCAAGGAATTTAAAGATGGGCTACTATACTTTATATATAAAGATATCTATATTTAGAAGACCAAATTTTGACTACCATTGAATATAAATTACGAAGATGGAAAGACTATATGCAAGAATTATTCGAAGATGCAGCACAAAGTCCGACTAAAATAAACAATCCCTTCTTCTTCCTCTTCTTCATGTGCCGTGCTCAATTATCGAGCGTTGGCTATCAATTGGCTATAGTAATTTTGTTGATGGCAGCTCGGAAAAGAGATGCACAGGATCTGTTAAACCAATCTCTCATGTTTCTAAGCCATGACGTTCTTCTTCGACCTGGCCCTCTTTTTTCGTCTACCTTGCCTTGTATTATTAAATGGAGTATATTATTTCTCTCTGGGTGGCGCATAACATGGCCAAATATTCAAGTTGCGATTTTTAACTGTTTGACGACTTCCGTAATTTTCCATACGATGCAAACAACTTCGTTACGAACTCTATCCACCCAACTTATTCGTAGGATTCTCCGATACACCGAGATTTCAAAGGCTTTCAGTTGATTGAGAACTGTATCTGTCAAAGTCCAACCTTCGACACCATACAAAAGAGTAGAGAACACATAACATCTTACTAATCTAATTTTCAGACTTAAAGCAATATTGTTTCCACATAACAGTTTCTTCATCTTAAAGAATGTAGCTTTGGCCTTGTCCGTCCGTAGTCTAATTTCTTTGTTCATGTCCCAGTGCTCATTTAGATTACAACCAAGCTAAGTGATACTGTTAGTTCTCTCCAGTTGTTCTTCATAAGCTGTTACCATTTCCGGTTGTATTGGCGTTCTACTGACGACCATCACCTTTGTCTTTGCGGTGTTTAGCTTAAGGCCATGTTAAAGTTCTTAGTAATTGCTTGCAATTAACACTGTGTCATCCGCATATCTCAAATTATTAATATTGACGCCATTCATTTTTATACCACATTGTACATTATCCACTGATTTATTAAAAGCGAACTCAGAATAGATGTTAAATAGTAGCGGGGACAAAATGCAGCCCTGCCTTACTCCTCTTCGTATTTGAAGCTCTTCAAAAGTGTCCCGGCAATCCTGATATTTGCACGTTAATGCCAGTAAAGGTTTTTAATAATGCGTAGGTCTTTATCATCAGTACCTACCTGCTGAAGAATGGCTATCATTTCAGTATGTTTTACTCGATCAAAGGCCTTCTCAAAGTCAATAAAACACAATAAACTGGATGTTTGCATCTCTGTACCATAAGCTGAATATTAAATAGTGCTTCTCTTGTTCCAAGGTTATTGCGGAATCCAAACTGTGTGTCACCAAGTTGTTGTTTTATATTTTTGGTACATCCTAGAGTGCAAAATTCGTAGAAATATCTATTCTTTTCGTTACATTAAAAAAATGTTTTCTGTGCTGTGAAAAATAATAAGACAGTCCCTCTCATGATTTATGTAATTGTACAAGTAATTGTACCAGCACTGCACGCTTCTCATAATAATAAGGCTAACCAGGCTTGGTTTCAACAAGATGGAGCAACAGCTTACAATATTCAAGGAATCGGCAAATTGCTTGATAAAATATTTAGCGAAAGACGGACAGCTAATAAAGATCCGTTTCTCTGGTCATTAAGATCCCGTTGTCACCGTTAGTTTACCATAATTCGGGATATATTGAAAGTAAGGTGCTCTCTAAACCTTTCACTACTGATGTTTAACTTACAATATGAAAGTTGTAAATTAACACGAAAAAAAAATTGTGACAAAAATGTATAAAGGTAATTTGTTGAAAAACCGCAAGAGTTAAGGTATAGGAAATACTAACAGACCGATAGTAAAAACATAAATAATATAATATAAAATATTCTAAAATAATAAGCCACATACAAAGGCGTCCTTATTAAAAAATGAATTATATCCGTTCATAAATTGTTGAGAGCACGAAATGTGTCTCAATGAATTGTTTCAACATAAATAGTTTACTTAAAAATAATTGAATAATGCAATTAATCTTTATTTTTACTGATATCAAAAAAATTATCATGTATTACTTTTTCACTCATTTACGACTTCCGGATGGGTATAAATCTTTTTGAAAACGAAGGAAATCCTTGGAGATTCGTATTCGTAATCGGTAATTCGATATTCATAGTCATTATTTTCAGAAAAAGCCATTCACCCACTTTCAATGTCAAGGAGTCAAGTGTGAAAAATAGATGATGTATTTAATACCAGATCACTTCTTATGTAAAAATATTATGATTACAAATACTTTTTTAACGAAATACTATAGTAAATTTAATTGTTTCTGGCTGATGTGAGCTGGCACTTTCAGTTTGCTACTGTATTTATAAAATAAATAAATAAATTGAATTTTAGTTTCGTTTGGAATAATTACTTGAGAATAATAATTATGATGGGTGGATCCAAAATATTACCTAACCTAATCCTAATCACTGTAAAAACCTAATAACCGGTTTTTACTTTAAAAATAAAAAACCGGTTATAACGGAACAAAAAAACAACCGATAAAACCGGTTCTATCTCTCAATTCTGACCACTAGGGGAAGTGTAGTGGTCGACGTGATGTCGTGTATTGTCCGTCTCCAGAGATCTCTGTCTCTTGGTCATTTATTTTAATTCATGCATAGTCTTTGGCATATTCCTGTAATTTGATCTATCCATCTTGTTGGGGATCTTCCTCGTGATCTTCGGCCTTCTACCTTTCTTGATATTATGAGTCTTCCATGTTTTCTGTGTTTTGCACTCATAATATGCCAAAATATTTTAATTGTTGGAGATGCACTTTACTAGAGAGTCTTTGGCCAACTTTAGCTCTCTTAAAATTGAATTATTTGTTCTACGGTCGGTCCAAGGAATTCGTAACATTCGTCTTCAATAGAATATGTTCAGTGGCGTCTATCTTTTTTCTCTCCGAATGTCTCAGAGTCCAAGATTCACATCCGTAGGTCAGTATTGGGAATATTAAGCAGTTGATCAACCTCATCTTTATCGCTCTTGAAATTGTGACATTCCTTCCATATTTTGTCATTTTTTGCTGTGGCAACTTTTGCTAGTGAACATC